ACACACACACACACACACACACACACACACACACACACACACGCACACGCACACACACACACACACACACACAGAATATTGGGACAGAAACAGGAGCAAAATGAGCTGCAAATTAGTTACAATATTCTTTCTTCCTTTCTGGATAATGCCATCAATTCTTGTCAGGTTTATAGCTTCTGCTCAATATACTATGAGCTTCTTCAGTTAAGGAGAATCCCATTCTTGTTTTTTTGTGTTTTGGACAAGACTGCAAAACGAAATCCTATCAGTTCAGCCCTTGAACTCTAGACTGTCCTGAGGTTCAGTGCTTGCCCCTTCACTTCCTATGCCCCAGGTCACCCTAGAAGAGGGAATTCAGAAGCCAAAGCCTCTCCAGCATATCCACGAGACCCAGATATCTGGACCACGAGTTTACTGCAGCTGAAGAGCCATTATCATTTAGCCTCTGAGAAGCCTTTGTGTGCAAAGCTGTGGGTCCCTCTGTCTCAGTGGCCTGGAACATTGGGTTTTACTTTCAGTCTCCTTGGGTTTTGAAACTAGTTGTTGCTTTCTGATTAGTTTTGGCACAGCCTCTTTGAAAAACCAAAGAAGAGAAAACCCTTCTTAAGGCAGAGTGTATGTGTATAGGGGGGAAGATCATTGTAGGTCCAAAAATAGGACTTTTACTTTTTCCCCTGTGCCTTCTGATTTTTTGCCACAGGTAAAGGTGTTGTCCAAATGCATTTGTTTTATATATACTGTATATATTTATATATATAAGATATACATGCAAGCTTGGTTGGTGTTTTTTTTATTATTAAACAAAATAAAATGCATTGGAAGTATTCAGGATGTTTGTGCTGCATCCAGGTGCCTGTAGAGACTGCTCTATACCAAGTGCCAAATTCACCCACATGACTTCTATTTATGGGCATACCCTACCCTATATCACTTAGAGAGAACTTTTCATTCTGCAGGGTGCCTAAGCACTTTACAGTCTGTGAGCCAGTCTTAACTCAGGCAAAACTCACTGCTCAGGCAAACTTAGGCTTCCATTGGACCAAATCCTGAAGGCTGTATTCAGGGCTGCATCACTTTTTCCTGCAAGAGGACTTGCCAGAAGAGATCCTTGGGGAAATACAATAGGGAACCTCATTGCATATCTCCCCCTGTTAGGAATAAGGTTTAAGTCGAGGGTGTGGCCCTGCAACCAGGTGGATATCAGGAGAGACAGGTTCACTTGCATGAAAGCTCTGTGCCAGCCAATAGACAATCCTATGAAGGCTTTGCCTAATACAGAGGGCTTCCACATAAAGATAATGTGGCCTGGAGCAGCATCACATTTTGTCCTTGACACCCCCTCTCCCAATAAGGCTCAAATACGTATGATTTACTACTTCTTCCAGGCAGAGCCAGTCCTGAGGCATAGGCGACTGGTAGGGGGTGCACGGGGGTGTATATGCCCCCCCAATGGCTGATACTGTCGGTAGGGCTGGTGCCCCCCTGACAGGGCCGCCACCGTCAGCAGCTTCTGTCCCCCCCACAGATTCAGGAGGCACCAGTCACTCATGTCCTTAGGGATGAACAATCAGGGCAGTCGCCCATGACTTTTTACATATGCGAAGGAGAAGAGGAGGGGCCAGATCTTAACCAGATCTGCCTGGGACTTCCATGAGTCTGACACCAGCTCAGCCCTGGCTAGTTTTGTCCCTGTTCCACCCCTGCCCAATATGGGCGTGAAGTATTCTGAGAATAGACATCAATGTAAAACAATATATTACAGGAGGTGCAAAATAGATCCATGCTCCATTTAAAATTAAGTGGAGCATTAGATAGGTAAAATATAAAGTTTACCAGAGTATAAGGGTATAAGGGTAAATGCTTGAAAAAGCACAGGTCCACTTACACAACTGGCGGAAAGTGGTAGAGCCCCAATGACCATAAAGAGACACAAGTGGGGAAAAGATTTCCCATTTCTTGACAGTTTTTTTAAGGTATCAAAAACAAAACATTCCTACAAAAAAAATCCGCTCTTGAATCTGGACCAATAGAACGCTCAAAAAAAATTGCAAACTGAAAACCAGAACACTTTCAGTTCTAGTCAGTTAGACTTTCAGTAATTTTGAATGATTTCTTTTTAATTTAACCTTTTTCAACCTTTTCTTTTTTGAACCTTTTGTTAGTGTGAATTAAAAAAAAAATTCTAAATGAAAAGTACTTTTGACTCAAAAGACCCCCAAATTTTCCTATTTAAAAATATTGAAACAGGACACTCTGATCATTTTGAAACTCTTTTCTCCTAAAAAAAAAAACCAAGTTGAGAGATTCATTAAAATCAATCTTGTCGTGTAAACAGATTTGTTGACAAATCTACATATTTCAGTAGAATAGCTTCATTGAAGAATTCCAGACCGGCTCAACTGCAAAGCTATACTAACTTCCATGTTGCTGAACAGTAGGCCTTAAAAGTGCTCAGGATTTTGTTTTGTGTTTCATCTAACAGATAATACCACAGTGCCTTTTGGAAGCATGCAAGTTGATCAGTTCTATATCTATTCCAGGGCAGGTGCCCGTCCTTACAGTCCAGTCCATGTACAAATTCATTGCCCTGGAAGAGAGAACTTCACCTCTGAACTTCAGTGGGATTTACCTTGTAAAACAGAGTTGATTTTTTTTTAAACCAACTGACCTTTAGATTCTCTTTGGTGGCCTTCATCCTCTATTTTTCTATCTATCACTGCTTTGCTAATGAAATTTTCCTGGCCAGACTTTCACACATAGCTAGAGATGTCCAAAGAAGTTTCATGCATCAAGTGTTGATGTTAAAACATGGCTGCTATGATCATGTCTGCCTTAGTGGTTTCCTTAGATTTCCCACCACTGCACCAATGTTCTTGTTCTTAAAGGCACAGCTCCTGGTTTCAGCTTTCACTAAAAAAGAAATCTTAAGTTTCTGGCTATTATGGTTATGAAGAAAATTTGAAAATGTGACCCATGCATAACCTAAACACTCAACATCCAGCAGGCAAAAACAAACAAACAAAAAAGGATCAAAACCCAACATTTATTAAATTTTTCAATTCAATTTCACGTTTGGTATAGGGAGGAACTTTGGATTTTTGAAGGCTTGAAGCCTGTACTATTTTTATTCTGCCATAAGTGCCATTCTAAAGGTGGTAGCAATGTTGGCAGCCACATGTGTCTCAATCACTGTGTGGATAGACCTCAGAGCAGGGGGAGGCAGCACAACAATTACAATAACAGTGACCCGTCTGTACCAACTCCCTTGCCGTGGTTATCAGCAGGGGCTGGTAGCATGGCAGGGGAAAAAATGAAAGAAAAGTGTTAGAAGTATACCTTTCCAATAGGACTTAGGTGTGTACAGGGAGAAGGAATTTTTTTAGTGATCCACTTCCAAGCAGAAGTTGACATGGAAGATCTTAAGGGGAATACTGGCGAGTTTTAGAATGAAATTGTGGATGATGGAAAGCATTTTATGTTATCTTCAATTTTCTTAGATACTTTGTGTTGTTTACTGGGGCACTGGAAGTCCAGACTCCTGGATTTTGTCCTTGTAGCTGCCACTGAATCACTGGGTGGCCTGGGTCAAGTGATTGCACCTTTCCATGCTTCACTCTCCTAGTCTGCCATATTGAGATATTCAGGTGGAAGTGATATCTCAGTCAAAAACATTATGCCACACTGTGAACAGTTACAAGATGCTCTTGCCCAGCAGGGAGAAACTGTTTCCTTTGGAAAACTGGGTTTCTCTGTTGGGGAAAAGCCCATGATATATCTTCACAGGACTCTTCAGATCACTGTGTTCAGTGAGTGTCAATCATGCTAGCATACCTGTAGGAAAAGGCCCTTGGACTCTAATTTCCTTTCTTTCTGAGTTTTTACATCCAAACATGGGTGACTGCCAGACCCCCCTTCCCCCCCGCCCCAACTTATCTTGCACCAACTAGAGCAATAGGGAAAATCACACACCTGAATTGGAATCAAAAGCTGCAACTCAGCTGGTGTAGACTGACCTAATGTTGTAAGTGAAGTTTTGGAGGACTGATACCACCTGCAGATCAGGCCCAAAGTTCTCAACTAATTCACACATTTTTTATAATCCCTTTTCTCTCCTTCAGTTTTTGAAGCCAAAGCATTTGTTTGTAAGCAGCCGTCACTTTCAATTTAACCAAGTTGTTTTTTGGGTTTCTAAGCAAAGGAACCATTTCTTATGCTAGCAAGAAAAACATCTCAGAGAAAGTGAAATTAAAATGTTGAGTACAAATGATGTCCATCTTGCATTCCTTGAGTTACAATGACTGTAAAAATAAGGGTTGCATATAAATGCCAGAACTTAAGTAAGGCCCTGATCCTGCCAATACTTATGCTCATGCCTAATTTTACTCCTGTGAAGTTTCACATTGGCTGTAATGAGCCAACTTGGTGAATAAACTTATGCAGGTGAGTCAATGGTTGTAGCATTTTCACCATGGACAATCCCTCTAGGTTCTGTCTTGTTATTTGGATTGAGATATTCTATTTCAATGGCATCCCAATGGTGAAATAAATTCCAGTATGTCTGAGTAGAGGGCAGTCCAG